TATATTTATTTATGCTGCCTATTGATTTATGCAATTTATATGAGTAAATTTTAGAATAAACTAAATGTTTAGTGATTTATATACTTTTAAGTAATTAGAAACTATCCACACCATCTTTCATTACGCAAACGATATATATTAAGTTGTTTAGGGTCAAATATAGGAAAATGACATTTATTGTAATTGATCATATTTTATATAATAAATTTTATTCCACAGGAAATTTTATTATGTTTGTATAATAAATTAGGGTAAAATATCAAATTATAGCTCTTAATTTACCCACATGAATTAAGAAAAGGAACATAATTTGATAGTCATATCGTAAAGTTAGGTGAATTTTATTTAATTAAACTTTAGTCCACAAACAAGTTCTATGTCATTAAATTCATAATTTTTGAAACATTTGAATTAAAACTTTAGTCCACAAACAAGTTCTATGTCATTAAATTCATAATTTTTGAAACATGATTTACATTGATAAAATATGATATTGTTTTATTGGTCTCAAATTTATGTCATGTAAGCATGTATATTTAAATTTATGCAATCATGCAACCTGCAAATTTTTTTGATATCAAGTGTGATATTCCTGAACTGAAGGGGGGCAACTATAAGGTATGGAAGGAATTGTATTTTGTCTGATGGTATTTTCTCGATTAATTTACAACATAGTACCTCTAATAATGTTAAGCATATTCACACTGTAATAAATGTTGTATTATGAATGAAAATTCCTCTATATTATGGCATTAGAGATTGTGACATATCTCCATACATAGAATTAAGAGATTAGCAAATGACGAAATACTTAGAACTTTGGATTTTGCTGATTTTGAATCTTATGTGGACTGCATTAAGGGAAAATACACCAACAAGTCAAAGAAAGGTGACAAGAGGAGTATAGACATCTTGGTGATCATACATTCAGATATCTATTATCTAGACTTGGAAGCTCATGGTCCAAAATACTTCATCTCCTTTATAGATGATTATTCACGATATAGGTATCTTTACTTGTTCATAAAAAGAGCGAAGCATTGGATGATTTTAAGTTTTTAAAGCAGAAGTAGAGAAGCAATGCGATAAGCAAATAAAGATCTAAGAACAGGTAGAGATGGAGAATATTATTGTAGATACACTAAGGATGGACAAGCACTTTGTTTGCAAAGTTTTTGAAGAGAATGAGATAGTTGCCAAATACAGTAACGGACCAAGAATCCTAATTTTACCTGTGTTAGAAAAAAGAAATCGAGCATTATTGACATGGTGCAGAGTATGCTTAGTAGCTCCAAGTTTCCTAAATCCTTGTGGATTGAAACTCTTAAAACGGCTGTGTATATATTGAACCGAGTTCCAACTGAGGTTGTTTCAAAGACGCCTTATGAACTATGGAAAAGATGGAAACCAAGTTTGTAACATATGCACGTTTGGGAATGCCCGTCTGAAGTAAGATTTTATAATCCACAAGAGAAAAAACAGGAACAATGACTATTAGTGGGTATTTCATTGGATATGTCGAAAGGTATGAGGGTTATAGATTTTACTGTCCATCTCACAATACTAGGATTGTAGAATCAAGAAATGTATGTTTCTTGAAAATGACTTAATCAATGGGAATGATCAATTTTTGAACAGTCTCTGGAAGAGATCAAACTTCTACATCAAGTGAAAGGTTAGTTATTGTCCACAACACTCCTCAAGTTTAAACGGGTGTTGTACAACTGGTCGATAAAGTTCCACAACCTGTTGATGATAATTCTGTAGATCAAGTTATTCAAGAAATGCCCTCAAAAAAATGTTGAATCAACATTAAGAAGATCTACAAGAGAAAGAAGATCAACAATTTTAGATGAACAATTTTAGATGACTATGTCGTGTATCTAGAAGAATTGGACAATAGTTTTGGAGCAAAAAAATAATCCTGAAAAGTTTTCACAAGCCATGGATTGCAAAGAATCCAATTTATAGTATAATGTCATGAAAGATGAAATGAATTCTATGGCTTCCAACGAGGAGGCTGTTACTCGAGCAAAAGGCGAGAGACGCAAGGGCGACAAGCTAGCGATAAAAAAAGTTGCGACCTTGGCAAATGTTGCTTAGTTTGGGGTGCGAAACTTCACTCACAACATTTCCTCTTCTATAAATTAGACCATTGAGACGTCCATTTGTTCATTCCAATAATATGCAATCATAGCATAACATTAAATTTATCTTTTCATAGCCTAAATCCTCTATAAAAACTTATTTTTTCCATTTTTATTTGAAGGAGTACAAAAACCAATTTTTCCGTTCGTTGTTCTTGTGTTTTAAAGTGCTACTAACATAAGAAGTTTGTCATTGTATCTTGGGAGTCGATTGCAATTATCTGCGGGCACCGTTGCGGGGCAAATTCGACTTAAGGATAAATAGTTCAACTCTAACCTCGACTTTGCATACATTCTTTTGGTGTTGCTTTGACATTATTTTTCTTTGGTATTTTCACTTATATCCTTACCGTTACTCTATTCAATTTTTGGTAAGGTTAGTAAGTTGATTTTCTGGTTTAAAGTCATAACTCAAATCCATTAAATGATACAATGTTATATTGATAGCTATGAATAATTCTAAACAAAGATTAATGTGTGAAAAATACAATTCATAATCCCTATACAATAAAAGAGCCACTTTCCTTTTTACTGTTCACACTTTCGTCCTACTCAAAACGACGTCGTTTTGGCATCACACGCTACCATTTTGACATATAACGCACCTAAAAAGAGAGAAAAAATCGCTTCATCACTTCGCTTCACTTCACGAGCCCGTGTCCTCTCTTTTCTAGGGTTTCCTTCACTTCCGCCTCCGGTAAAGTGTTCGAACTCAGATCGTCGTTCCGTACATCTGCACCGCCAGCTCTCATGTATCTTCGATCTAATAGGTTTGTGCACTTTCTATTTTTTTCTTTGTAATTTGTGGAAATTACCTGTACTTATTAACGGATCTACACCTTTTTCAATCGATTTCATTATGGGTTTTAATGCATGTAGCCATGTGATAAAGTGTATCTCCCTATACAATAAAAGAGCCACTTTCCTTTTTACTGTTCACACTTTCGTCCTACTCAAAACGACGTCGTTTTGGCATCACACGCTACCATTCACGAGCCCGTGTCCTCTCTTTTCTAGGGTTTCCTTCACTTCCGCCTCCGGTAAAGTGTTTGAACTCAGATCGTCGTTCCGTACATCTGCACCGCCAGCTCTCCTGTATCTTCGATCTAATAGGTTTGTGCACTTTCTATTTTTTTCTTTGTAATTTGTGGAAATTACCTGTACTTATTAACGGATCTACACCTTTTCCAATCGATTTCATTATGGGTTTTAAAAGATTTCATTTATTTGCAGCTCGTGTTCTCCCAGGTTCGCGTATTCGGAGAAAAATCCATGGGTCATTGAAGCTGCGAAGCCATTGCTCCCATGTCGTTGAGGTCTCCTCGTTTCTGGTATTCTCTTTTTGATTTGTGTGAATTTCATGTACCTATTTACAGATCTACACATTTTTCGTTCGATTTCCATTATGGGTTTTAAAAGATTTTATTTATTTGTAGGTTGTGTTATGCCTGAATCGCGTTTTTGGGACAAAAATCTGTGGGTCATTGAAGCTCCTCCACAACAAAATTATGGTATTTCTTTCTCTATTTCACATGAAATACGAGTGAGTTTAATGGGCAGATTTTGGCTCATTATGTGGTTGTGTGCAGGTGGATGGAATTTACCTTTGTAGACCAATGGAATTCACTTTATATACTTTATACAGTTTACTTTGTCTGTCAGAGGAAAAATTTCATGCAACAGAATTTGCAGAATGCTCAGAAGAAGTTCATGGAGGCAGAGGAAAAACTTCATGCAGCAAAATCTTTGGAAACAGAAGGTAGCCGGTTCCACCCAATTCACTTAATCTTTCTGAAATTGCTGAAATGAAAATTGTGTAAGCCAACTACATATTTCTCTGTTAGTATGTGTATGCCTAGAGGTCTCGAAGTATTTTGATGCTGAGACGGGAGGTAAATGGACAAAGTGAGGCTATAGAGGATGAAGAAAAAGAGCCCCGAGGTATTTCTCATTGATTTTGATTTATTTTTGATAGTTCTAAATGTACTGATTCTTGTATTATGTTCTCTGACATTTTTTGATATCTATTTGTACTTCATCAATCTTTTGATAATACCAAACGTTTTCAATTTTCGTAAGAATATCAGACTTGAGAGTTTTTCTTATTTCGGTTGAATTTCCATTTTTGCTGATGGATACTTCTCGATTTTGAGTTTAATTCTTGTGATAATAAAGAAAATGTGTATAGGCAGGTGGTCTTGAGAGACCCTTTAAATAGATTCTTTTTTGGACAATTATTCTGTGTATTGACAGATTGTTCATAGTCTATTTGTTAAAAAAAAAAAGGTGAAGAGCATATAGGTTGAACTCTTGAATTGTGTTGTATTTTACTATAGGAAGGTTTTACATAAGAATACAAAAAATTCGTTGGAGTTCCCAGTTCTAAGAAGTCAAGCTGGTTATATATTACCACTACAAACAAAAAGTAGAGAATGGAGAGTACCTTTTAGCTCAGTTGTTGTCTCTCCACCCTGTACCGACTAATTTTTCACATGTTACTGATGAAAATTCTGTCTGTACATGAAAATTGAAGAACTTAGTTTATATTTGAATCGGATACATGAAAAGTATATGATAAGGGCAATTATTGTTATAAATATCAAAACTTATTACAAATGCATAATGGGAATAATATTATGAGTTATCTATTTTAACCAATTTTGTTTGTTACAATTTTCATCTGGTAGCCTTGCCGTCAAAATATTATTTTGTCATGTGTATGTAGAAAGATATTTGGGTGGAGGAGGTGCTCTCTGTCTACTGTTTACAACTAACCACTTGTATCTCATTTCTTTGATCATAGGTTGGTTGAAAAGATGCTCTCCACCGGATGTCACCACTTTTTACAGATATAATTGGGGATTGTAGAGAAGTGTTGATCTGAAGCTTAGTGCATGTCCTTGAACGGGGATTGTTTTATGGCACATAAAACGTTTCTTGACATATGTTCTTGTATGGAACAGGTAAAGTATTAGTGTTTATTTACTTAATGCATTTTTATTGCTTGGGCTCTGTCTATGGATCCAGGATCCTGTAAGTAGCCTTCCGACTTGGCATCAAAGGCCTTCATATCCACTCCTATTATAAGCATATTCTCCACGTGCTCCGTAATGGAACATTGTAAAATTTTACAAGAAATGAATTTGATAAATTAGAAATAATACAATCTAACTCTATTGGCATCCATAAGTTCACTGTAAATAATACAATCTTACAATGTGATACTGTAAATAATACAATCTTACAATGTGATAATTGATAAGTATATTGTGGATACTTAATTTGATTTGATATTTATTGGTTAATTTTTTTGTGATCTTGAGTGAAACTAAATGAATATACTGAAGTTTATAGATTTATGTTATTTGGAGTATTGGTATTCAAATTGTTATAGTTTGGTGTTTCGTCACAATTTTTAAGAATTTTAGTATCAGCTGAAATCTATAATCTGAAATGAGTTAAAACACTATAAAACTTCTTTAATCTAAATCACGGTTTTCACCAAATATTAAATCTTTGAGCTGAAGATAGAAATATAAATATCGCTACTTTCATGAAAAGAAAGATGGCACACATAATATCTTGAAATGGTGATGATCCAGTGAAAGAAATAGGGAAACTTTGGGTTGGAAATTAGCTTTTACAAGTAGCGAAGACGTTGAAAGACATGGTGCAAATTCTTATTTGCTTTATATTAAGTGCATGTTTGTTAACATTTGGACAAATTGCCGGGGAGAAGGTTGGAATCTTCAAGATATTATGGAAGTCACATGTTCTTTGTCAGATTTAGTAACAGGAAGTTTTCATTTATTTTTGTAATTGCAGGGTTTTTTTGTTCTTCAGTTTGTTTCCTTTCCATTTTCTTCTTTTATTTCTTCTTGATCTACTCATTCTTGAAATTAGCATGGCGTGTCAGCATTTACTGTACCACAGCCTGAAGAAGCCATGTCTGTTCCTGAAGAGAAGGCTTCACAGAATGTGAGCTGAAATTGTGTTTGTACAATTCATTTGAATTGCATCAAAATTGGAATTGTGTGACTCAAAACAAGCCTTAGCAACGAAGATTTATCATTCAAAACTTGATGACTATGAATTGATTTGTCTAGCTGATAGTAAGAACGAATTACTTGTACTTGGGAACGTATAGATTGATTGTCTAGCTGGCTCAAGAGATAAATGTAAAATATGATGTTAAGAGGTCTAAGACGGAGGAACCTGGCTTTTGTGAAACAAAAACTGTATATTGAACAAGGATAAAGAAGTGATTGAGAAAGCAATTAAAATTAAATTAAATGTAATGGCTTTTTTTGTGATAAACTGTTTAAGATGCCCAACTTAGAGAATGATTATGGACTTGAATTTTTTACCTTGGAGAAGCATGCTTTCCATGATATTGCTCATAATTGGGCCTGTGAAATAAATACATGTTGATTCATATCTGGTTGCCAATATATATTTAATGATGTTACTGGTACTGCTAACAGGTACATCTTCAACTAGCATCCCCAGTGGCCCCTATCTTGCTTAGTGGTCTGCAACTTGGGCTTGAAGGCAAACACCAGTATTTTAATGTGGTACATCTTCAACTAGCATCCCCAGTGGACCCTATCTTGCTTAGTGGTCTGCAACTTGGGCTTGAAGGCAAACACCAGTATTTTAATGTTGGTCTTACTCTTGCACTATGTTCAACTTGGCTTCAGAGGACATGTCGTGTGGGGATAAATTACCTAAACCACCCTGTAAGATATTTGAAACGGGAAATTTACTTTATGGCCCCTTTAATGTCCACTGAACAAATATTCTTCTGGTTTTTTTTGCTTTGAAATAGACCTTTCTGCCTGCGGAATTCATTAAAGGGCTAACGACAACTACTCTGCAAGGAGGGGCACAAAATGTACCTGATCGGTTCATTGAGAATGGAAGCTCGGGTAATGTTTTGCGCTGTCATTTATAATTTTCACGTGACTTATATATTTATTATCTATAGATCGGTTTGGGATTATCTGTTTATAAATTTTAGTATTTATAAATTTGTCAATTTATTTTGCAGGATGTACCCAGAGCGTTTGCTCGAGTACATCTACAAAAATTTGTCCAAAATATCCAAATCCATGATCATTCGCACCGTGATTGGCCAAGGCGAACAAATTTAAAAACAAATGGTGATGTGCGACAAACAACTTCAAATAGGTAACACGTGTGTATTCAAACTTGTCAACAATGAAACCCCATTATTCATGGTGTACAAAGATCTTTTACCAAGTTCAGTTTGACATAATGCTATTAGTTAGCTGCCCAGGTTAGGTTAATACCATGTAGATGTTTTCAGAAAGCTATTAAATTAATTAGAATTGAATGCAATCCCATGATCTCATCCTGACTTCAACGAGTCAGACTAATGGAATGGAATAACAAGAATAAATTGTATGATTTTAGGCGCCTTGAAGCATGTTTGGCTTAGCTAATGGGTTTTTTGGGCAACATCTGTAATACTGAAATAAGTAGTTCCACTTGTACGAAGAAGCAATACCAAGCACGCTCTTGTTTTGAAACTGAAATTTCTATCAGTTGTCGCATAATTTATCATTCAGAGTATGCCCTCCCCTAGCCACTTTTTTTTTGTAATCATTACAATTAATAATGAAACAAAATGACATGACAGTGTGTAAATATTCGTATTATTCATCAGCAAATTACCATTAATACATCAGCTTTCATCGAACCATATCTATTATGCTAGAAGTTTTTTGATATGGCATTGACATCCTTCTATTTCATTTCAGAATTGCTGAGCATCTACCTTATCTTCATGACAGAGTAATTGCACCTGATATTGCTCTCAGTTTTCCTAGAGTCAAAAGACGTCACATGTTAGAAATATTACATTACTATTCTGTTAGTTTATCCTAGAGCCAAAAGAAGACACGTGTTACAAATATTACATTAATCATATTTTTTCTCAAATATTGATGAATTTATTTGTTCCCGTTTCCAGAGTACTATTCTTGGATTAATTGGTACTTTGATAAAGAGGTTGAAAGGGGAAAAAGATTTATTTGTTCCCGTTTCAGGAATTTGAAACTATGATGGATACAAACAAAGATTTAAGTACAGCTTACTTTCTCTCTCTCTTTTTTAATGCCATCATATTTCTTTTATTATATGCATTTACAACTCGGTCTTTCCCTCACAAAAACATGAATATCTACTTAACATAGTTATATTTATTATTATAACTATTACATGCGTGTTTGCAGTCGCCATAGACTTGTGCCCCAAACGTCTAATCCATACAAGAGATGGTTTAGAAACATATGTGCAGGACGTCGTGCTAATTGACAAGAAGTTAATAACATCTTCTTTATTCATTTTTTACACGTCACATTTCGCACAAAACGATATTATATAGTAACTGCTCCTCCAAACTTTTAGCTTCCAAACAATTCTACTGACAATGTGGGATGCATTTGTTGAAAAGGAATGCTCTACAATTGCACATAACATATCTAAGAAACCAGTTATCATAGGACTCCACTTAGAAGTATCTTCATTCAACGGTGATTCGACTAATGCTTTCTCACTGCAAATAAATTTGTACTTTAGTTCACCTTTAATTATATCATAGTACTTCATACCTGCAAATGAACATGGCTGCCAATATCTTACCATCTTCTTGTCATACATAATGTTTACTAATATGTGGATTTTTTTTAGGGCTGACACTATCCACAAGACCACATAGTTGTTTCTTCATTGATCATAAATTTAAGGAAGTGGATGACATAAAATCATGGTAACTAATCCAATTTCTTTCATTTGTATTAATTTTATAGGCGCCCTGTCATAAAATATGTCTCCAGCATTACACTTTCTTTAGCTATATATTATTGTATATTGCATTAGCAACTTCCAATGTGGAACATTAGCTTACTCATCCTGTAAATGACATTTATATAACATATTAGTTTTATTTTGCTTATCTTTAACTTTCACATCCTGTTAATGACATTCATATGAGCGATTAGTTTTATTTTGCTACCTTATCTCATTTCATGCCACGTTCTACTAAGCAAACATCATAGTTCAAAGTTTCTGTTACAAAATAGCACACACAAGCTAACTATTATCTGAAATGAGCTGTAATACTTAGTCTTTTCTCTTATCTCGTACTTATAATTCTTGTCGTAAAGGGCTGTCGACAATAGTGGGAGATTGGATGAAATCACTACAATAAAAGTCTATAATTTATTAAGTCCTTCGAAGTTGTCATCTCCAGCTGCAAACAAATTTACTCAAATTCTGGAAATTCAATCTTCAGTCTTGATCATTTCAAAAGTGTTTTGAAATGCAAATGATGCACATTTTTTGTATGCTTTTGAAATTGAAATGCTATATTAGAAATAAAATTGAGTTTTAAGTCCATTGACTTGTTTATAGAAGTCAAAACTTGACTAATTAGAATTAACAAGTATTTGCTGAAGAAGAATTAGTATTTAAACTATGCTAAAGGATAGTAGTAGAAGAAGGTAATATAATTAGAAGTAGCCTCAAGAATGACCAGTAAGTCACAATATTAATGCTGGGTTTCAAGCACAAGCTCTTATTTTAGACGAATTGTTAATATATCTATATTGTAACGGAGTTAGAACTTCAATAATTTAGTTCTTCCTTAAATTTGTACAAGTAATCATAATTTGTACAAGTAATCTTAATTTAATTCTTCCTTATTTGTATTCATCAGATTAAGACTTTCTTGCTTTTCTTCCAGTATGTTTCACTTGTTTATTTTATAGTTTCGAAGTTAATAAATGTTGTTGAAACACTATAGATGTTTTCTCCCTCTTTTTTCTAGGTAAAAGATGTTGGCTATCAATCTCCAAGGATCAAGGTCAATCTTTAAAACAGAATTAGTTTCTCCCTTCCTGAAAAAAGGCTCTTCCTTTTCATTTTGTCATAAATAAGTTGCATATATTTACAAAAAAACAAAAATCAATTTGTCTTTCTTTTACCATTTTGCAACTGGTGTTGTCTGAATTTTAACACTGAAAGATCTTATTTTGGACCTACGAACTGTAGTAAGTTCTTTTGGTCTGAACAGAAAACACAATTTATGTTGAAATGCCACTTTTCCATTTACTGGTGGCAGGGGTTTTATACTTACAAAAGATCTCCATATTGAAATAATGTGTATCTTGTCATGCGCTTATGCAGTTTTGGATTGGTTTTTGGACGGAGTGGAAATGGGAAACCTGCTCTTCTGCAGGTCCACCTTTTGATCCACAATTTGTGCCATGTTAAACCAACTGTTCTGTATCTATCGATTTACTTGTTATCTTGTCTTAATTTCTACTTAGGTCTTTGACTGTTTCCTACAGTTGATAGCAGAGTTAAGTAGCTAACATCAGGCTCCATCCATATTCAAAGAGATAATAATCAGTCTCCTGAATTGTTATTGCCTGGAAGAGTTGGTATTGTTTTCCAGTTTCCTGAAAGGTATTAACTTCCAATCTTGGAGACAATTTTAACTTTTTCTATTTCATAAAGTAAGGTTCATTTGGTATTTAGGTTCTTTAACTGCATCCTATCTTGAAAAAAATGAGCTTATACTGCATAATAAATTACATATTGTTTATTCTACATTCATGTTGCATCTTACACTTCGAGACTAATACAACTGTAATGTTATTACTCTCATATTCATTCCGTTGGCATTTTCTTTCCTTCAATTTCCATAGCTGATGCCCTAAAGAAAAATTGGAAAAAAAATATGAACCCTCTTTCCTGATTTGATTGTGTAGTAGGTTTTGTTTTTATAGAAGTTTTATGCCAATACTAAAGTAGCTTATGTGTTCTATATCTTGTCGTCTTTTTTTTCACTTAAGAGGTTTAACTGTTACATCAACTGATGTTTGCCTTGTGTGATTTTGTATCCACCGTATGCCTATCTTTTTTATGCCATTGTTTATGTTTGGTTGGGGGTAGATTCACCAGGTACAATGAAGGCTACTGCCCGTAAGTTTTCAACTCCTGTGGTACTTTGTCAGATGTTAATAGTTGCTTCCTTTTATGCTCTTGGATTTCCAAATATTTAATGTCCACAGTTTGACTCTCAGATTTCTCTCCCAGTGCCTCTTNACTCAAGAAAGTACTGCCGGCGGTTCTTGATTTCCCAGTTTAGATATTACAAAAGAAGTGGTTTTGGTATATGTATTTATATATGCATGTACAGAAAAGGAAGAGTCAGTGTGCAATAAGTTTAGTGTCGCCTTCACCTACCGAAACTTTAAAAGCGGCGGCGATGGGTGGAACTGTAAAAAATGTGTTAATTGATATATTATTACAGCCATTAACAAGACTCACAGCTGCGTTTTCTCGCAACTTGCCATTTGAGTAATTAGTTTGTTTCGCGCGGGTAGTCGCTAACAATTAAAAAGAAATTCAGACGATTGTGTAAGGGACAAATCTCTTGAGACAAAGTCCCAAAAAAGGGTGTTTTATTGATGAGAGTTACAATTGGAACTAAACAGAATGTATTTAAGGGGCGCAAGCACACAAGTACTGAAATAAGGCTAATTAAAGTTAATCTAAGAAATTAAAATTACATATTCTCTGTTCGAGAGTGTTTGATTCGGGGTCTTTTCCTCTATGTCTATTCTTTCCTTTTATATTCCCATGATGACTTCTGTGTGACAAAATGCTTGGAAACTGCTACCCATTTTCTTCATGGTGCCTAATTTGTCGTAGAACTGCCATCTCTAATTGCTGCCATTACTTTTCGTTATTCAACTGCTTTCAAAGAGGTTTCTTAAATCATGGAATGTGAAAATTAGCTCGATAACTGTCTCAGTAACTGCTATTTCGGATGACCACAATATCTCACATATTAGAATTCTGGGCGACTCGAAGGCCTGAGTGAAAACGAGGCTGTTGCGTTGAGCGACAGTGAGGCACTCC